ACTGGGATAAACCCATAATCCAACGTGCAATTCTAGAAGTGGGATCTTTAAGTTTTAAAACATGAGATAATGAAGCTTGATCAGAATATACTGTAAATGGTTTACCAAGAAGATATTGTCTAAAATGTGCTGTGGCCCAAACAACTGCCAAAATTTCCCTCTCTACAGTACTATAACGTGTTTCAGGACCTTTTAATTTTCTACTAGCATAACAAATTGGATGTTGGAAACCGTTAGAATCTTCTTGACACAAGACAGCACCCAATGCATAATTAGAAGCATCTGTACACAAGGAAAAAGGTTTAAGAAAATTAGGTAAAGCCAAAATGGGTTCATTCAGAAGTTCAGCTTTTAGAATATCAAAAGCATGCTGAGCTTCATGTGACCAATAAAATGGAACTTTATCTTTAGTGAGCTGAGTTAAAGGAAGTGCCTTTTGGGCAAAATTTGGAATGAACCTTCTGTAAAAGCCAATAAGGCCTAAAAATCGCCTAACTTCTTTCCTATTTTTAGGTGCAATAAAACTCTGAATGGTCTTTAAATTTTTATCATCAGGCTGTATAATACCCTTGGTAACTTTATATCCCAAATACGTAATTTGTTCTTTCAGAAAATGACATTTAGAAGGTTTAAGTTTTAAATTATGCTGTTTTAGTCTATCAAAAACTAACTTCAATTTTTCCAAATGTTCATCAAAAGTTTTAGAAGCAATGACAATATCATCAATGTAAATCCCTATTTTTAATGGTGAAAGATTGGCCAAAACTATAGACATCAACCTTTGAAAGGAACTAGGAGCATTTCGCATGCCAAAAGGTGTTCGTAACCACTCATAGTGCCCAGAAGGAGTCGAGAAACCACTTTTGAAGGTGTCATCAGGATGAATTTTCATCTGGAAAAACCCTGAAGTTAAATCAAGTGTGGAAAAATAATTCGAATCTCCTAACTGTTCTATCAATTCAATCATGGAAGGCAGAGGAAAACTGTCTTCTATCGTTTTCTCTCATTCAACTTGCGGAAGTCAGTGACTAAACGGTAGGTGTTATCCGCTTTCTTAACAAATAAAACAGGAGCACTGTAAGGGCTGTCACTTTCTTGAATGATGTTGGCTTCAAGCAGCTCTGCCACCTGTCTATCTGTCTATCTAATTCATCCCTGAGATGGTAAGGTACTTTGTAAGGCTTTTGCCTAACAGGAATATTATCACGCAAGTTGATGTTGTGTAAGATGGTGTCACACCCTGTTAACTCAGTGACTGAGGCAGCAAAGATGTTACTATACTGATTGAGAAGGTGTGATAAATGTTGTTGTTGCTGCTCAGGTAAATGTGTAAGATCAAATTCACCACCCCAAGACTCGAAATCCTCACCTGTTTCTATGGTGGTATTGTTTACAAGTTCAGAGTTATGTGTGATGACATTCACAGGTTGGGCACTGGCCAATTTCATTCCTTTATTGAGATGTAGTGTATTCGGTGAAAAATTTGCAATTTTGACATAAAATTCGTTAGATGAAGAAGTCTGATTAACTGACCTGGCTATGGAAAATTGACTTTGAGCATGTTCTATTAAAGGTTCAATTAAGACAGTATCAGTAGTGAAATTTACAGAACGAGCAGTGAGCTTAATGATATTTTCAGAAAAAGGTGGTAATTTATGTTTGGTTACAGAGTAACAAAATGACTGAGAAACTGAAGTTGAGAAAAACCTTATTATTCATAGCACTAGGCTGACTTAGATTCCATTTAAGAATTACATTTGATCCTAAGAGTTGAGAAGTGGAGAAATCCAAATGCATATTGTGGTCTGCAAGAAATTTAGTTCCTAATAAAGCACCATACTGAGATGAAAGAGGTGTGTCAGTAATTAAAAATTCTGTTTCAAAATATTGTTGTTGAAATTCTATTGTTAAATTCATTTTCTTATTTATTTTTACTTTTTCTGCAGCAATACCCTTTAAATATATGTTACATGAATCCAATGAGATTTTATTTCCAAAACATTGAATGTATTTAGCTTCTATGATGTTTACAGTTGCCCCCGAGTCCAATAAAAACTTTACTTTATTCCCCAAAATAGATCCCTCAACAATAGGCAAAGACGCCTCACTAGTGGATACTGTAAAAACCGATGGCACCTCCAAAAGGGTTTTAGGAGACGAAACGGAGACTGGTTTCTCCCCACCCTGAATTAGTTTAAATTAAAACTTGGTGCTTGGGGATTCAAAGCATTTGTAGCCACACTTGTGGTATTTGGAGCACCCGAAACAGCTGGTGTGGTGTTATTAGAATGTCTCCTGGCTGTTTGGTTATTTCGAAATCTCTGTTGACCCTGTCTAGAGTGCTGATTAGGCACAATATTCGCATAGCAGTCCCTGCTAACATGCCCTATTCTGTTGCATCTGTAACAACGAGGCTGTATGGGTCTTGAACGAGTACCTTGTGATATTAAACTCTGCACCTGTGTTTGGAGAGAGCCCATCATTTTTGTAAGCTGAGCTATATTTTCCTGCTGCATCTTAATAGCTGTAGTGAGCTCTGAGTTGGTTACTGATGGTGGTGTAACTGCCTTCTCGACTGCTGGCTTAGCAGCATTCACTGCTCTAACCTCAGCTGTTGCAAAATCACTACTAGCATGGCTCTTAGCCCACATGTCTTCCTCAATAATTGCATGCTGTTTAGCAGATGCAAAAGTTTTGTGATTCTGTGGCAGCAACAAGCGTCGCAAATGCAACTGCAATCCTTCGATAAACACTGACAGAAGTAAATCCTGTCTCTGTGCTTCTGCTGCAGGGTCACTGCTTCTTTCCACTGGTACAGTTTTGTACGAAAGAGCCTCTATACGTGCTGCAAATTGTCGCACTGACTCGTGTGGTTTCTGAAAAGCCTGAATAAGAGCACGGATGTTAGAGTGCAAATTGTGCACTGAACTGAACCTCTCTTTCAACGCTTTCAACGCTTTCACAACATAGTCAAGACTGGCTTCTTTCTTTAACCTAGGATTATTCCTAATTAATTCTGCAGCCTCACCTGCCACCTTGACTCTGATCACTGTTAACTTATCTTCATCTGACCAACCCACATGAGTGGCAATGAGATCAATCCTATCTAAGAAGTCATTCAGACTAATTCCCTTGTCTGCACCTGAGAACAGAGGAACAGAATCCAGAGGATCAGAACCAAAAACTGATAGAGCCATTACTTCTTGACTCTCCTCCCAGTCTATTGCACTATTACTAGCCGCTCTGGCTGCTCGTTTTGACACTTTCTTTGGCATTTTAAACTGCGATCAGCAATTGCCAGCACATAAAGTAGGGATGTATCCCAATGTGTGATTAACACGCGTGCCTTTTAACCTTATGTTGCAAACATACAGTTGCAAAAGTGTGAAACAGTAATCCTCAAAATCAATATGTAAAAATGCAATACAAAATTTTGCACAAAAAGAAAATACTTAACTAAACAGGTACTGCGTGAAAATGTTTGTGTTGGATACAATAGTTTTAAAGTCCAAATGTGTATCAGTAGTACATATCTGGTATGCAACCTCAAACAATAAGTATAAAATAAGCACAGTAATACGACCACTGTATAGGCCTGTCACTGTAACTAACTAACGAGTAGGGTTTCAGTAAAAAGCCTAGACATGTGGAAGAAAACTTTCACATAAATATGCAATAGTACACATGACAATCACCAGTCTCAAGTCAAAATTAAGTTCCACTATAAGCGCAAGCCAAAAGTGATGCAAAAATAAACAGCACAACAAAAATTGTTAAGTGCTAAAATTTGGTTCGAAGGTTCACGGCACCAAAAATGTTATGGTGTTTTGAATATTTTACCTTCTAATTTTCCTACGTTACCAAAAGGTACCCTACTAATTGACCATAACACCAGAAAACTCTTACCACAGAAAATACTAGTAACAATAAAGTTGAAAATTTGCGTTGTGTTTATTCCGGATTAACCCTGAAAATCCATTTGAGTAAAAAAGACTGGTAAAAATCATGAGCACACACAAAATAAATTTAACCATTGAATGATCTAGAAAAACTTATTTATTTAACTATTAAAGCAATTACTGATATATCCATTAGTTAAAAAATCAAAATATATTCAACAAAATTGTAACTATTGTTTTCACACATCCAAACATTTCTGAGTAATTATTTTCTTTTTATGTATAACATCCTTGTAGTTATTATTAAATTTAATATTGCAACATGGTAAAACATACCAAAAAAATAAACTATAAATTTAAGAACAATACCCTCCCCGGGAGAGAAAAAAAAAAAATAATTTAACAAGTTACACTTTCCAAAAAAAAAAAAAATTTACTTCACACAGAATAATCAATACAAAAATATATTGCATAATATTGCACTCAATATCAATCATTAAATACTATTATTGCACATAATAATTTTCTATTTATTTTTTTTTTTATTAAAGTATAGTTTAACCGGATAAATGTTAAGTAATTACACTATTACGATCCTACCAAACAAGTTAATCCCTGAGAGTAGCAGAGAGGCTCAAACAAGATATTACAAACAATCAATCCTCACCAAGCAGGCACTCCAAAGTTGAATTACATAATTTCATGAAGAACTTATTTTTCCTTTACAATTAAGTTAAGTTACAATAATTTTAAAAAAAATTAAATCCTTAGTCAATTTAATACTTTACTTAATCGACACACAAAAAATGATTTCTATAGAGTTAGGTTAACTTGGTCAACTACAAAAAAAAATTTAATGCTCAACACATCAAATTAATTCAATCATTTAACTTAACTGCAGAATTCTATAATATTTATCTAACCGGGAAAAAAAACTTATCTGGAAAAGCAGTTTCTGAGTAGCAGGCAAAATCAAACCATATGAAAAAAATTGTCCCTTGAAGCTCAGGAGTAAAGCCGGCAGCAAGTTGCAGGAAAGGTGTTCGTCGATTATATGGAGGTTATCACGGGAGCCGAGGAAGGTTTTCTATTTGATTCAGGATGAACAAGGAAGGTTTCCCATCTTGCAGGATGGTTGAAATACAGTCCAGGACTTGGAGACGACAGCTGTCAGCAAGGAGAAAATTTCAGCTCAGGAATCAGTCGGTGGAAAAAGGCGAGTCCGACTTCTAAGTTCAAGAAGCAAGCGGGTGTTGACCAACCAAATAAACAACTACTTCGGAGGAAGCAAGAAGCTAATGAAGCATTTCTATGGTAGAGAACTAGGTAGAGACATCTTTCTAGACGACAATTTTCAGCATTATATTTCTTGAGAACTTAATGTAAACACAAACGCATACACAAAAAAAAAAAAAAAAACTGATGCAACGAAGAATTAGGTGGAGACAAAGATACCCGTAAACCAGGGCCCGCGCTCAAGAGGCCCGTAACTCTATCGGGTTAAGAAAATCATTTTCCTCGGCAGAATCTGCTGCCGTCGCGTACAGCATCAGAAAAGGAATTCAAAAAAGCAGAAGACGTGTCAAAAAGTGTGCTCGTCCCCCAAAACAACCCGTTAAAAGTTAAAAGGGAGACGCCGGACTGCCAAGTTGGCACAACCCACTCTTCGCCAAAAGTTAAAATAGTTGAACAACAAATAGTTGCAACAACCCATACCCTCATGTTATCAAACTCGCCAAATCCACTACTTTGAAACCTCAACGGAAATTCTATGTCGCCAAAATAACCCCACCACCTGTGGACAGGGGAAAATTAGGAATTTCAACAACCCTGCAAGGGTCCCAACGAAAGAACGCTGAAAACTCGCAAAAAGTGACTTTTCAACCGGAAAGAGGGCATTTCATCCCCCTTTAACTAAATCACAAGCAAACGAAGAAAATCTACTAATTAAAGCTCATAACTGAAATGCAATTAAAGTTAGAAAAACGAAAGTTATGCCAAATTAAAGAGCTAATTTTTCTGCAACTAATGATATTAAATACTAAGAAATCAAATTAATTTTTGACATGAAAAACTGAGTTTATTACGTGAAAAAAATTCACCTATCCATTGTTTGCGTGTACAAGATTGAAGACGCAGTTCGCGTAAACTCGGAAAGCCAAAATATATTACACTAGAATTAATAAGCCAAAAAAGAATATAACCAAACTTGTGTAGCTCAAATTTTGAATAATTACAAATTAAAATTTTGATTTTTATGAATCACTTAATTAAATTAAATTCGCTACACAACATAACAAGTGTGTGAAAAATTTTTAGAAATGATAATGTATTAGGCATATAAGTATCTTACTAATGTAATAAATTACCATTTTTTTATACAAAGTAAAGGAAGCATTGTAATCACGAAAATTTCTGGGTATCACATTTCAATAAAAGTATCCATTTTGACCGCTATCGAATGTAATTTAATGATGTATCTGTGTGGCATCTCTACATAAGAACAGAATAAAGGACTCTTTTTCTCAAAATAGGTTGCAAAAAAAGATTTAAAATGAATTCAGAAGAGATTTTTTTCATGATGTCTGTATGTATCTCGCATAACTAAAAAATGAGTACCTTTGAACGTTGAAATTTTGTATATAGGAATGCTATAACATATAGTTGTGCACCTCTCTTTTTGGTTGCAATCAGCTGCATCAAAAGTATGTAAATACAGTAAAAGTCCAGAAATCCACAAAGCTTGGGACCAGAGGTTGTGCAGATTTTAGGATTTTGCGAATTTCAGGATAGAAAAGATAACTCATAATATTCAGACTAAAATTGCAAAATAAATAAGGCATATTAGATAAATTTATTAATTGTTATATACATTATTGCAATAACATAATATATGCATTAAATTAATTTTACATATATAAATAGATTATATTGTATTATATATACACAGCATTGAGGTTTGCCGATTTCGCCCCATGCAAAGATTTCCGATTTTGGATTCTGGTGTTAGAATCACTGTTACTGTAAAATTTCAACAGCTTTTCTTTATTTTTACGTATATCATACACAATCGTATCGCAATTCCATATGATTCTGCTATAAACCGAGGAGTAGCACCTGTATACAGCTTTTGCAGAATTTGCACTTTTTGCATTACCCTTAATGCAACGTGTTTACGTTTTTCAGTGTTGCAAGCAGTATAATCATGAGTGCGTTTCTTATTTGTAAATGTATTAAAAAGGGCTGAAATTTAAAATAATCCTAATTTAACTAGAAAAATATACGGATAAAAACAAAAAGGCAGCACTAAATAATCTCGTGAAATAACAAAGCTCGGAAAATATAACAATGTGAATCGTGAACTTGAAAGAAGAGTTGAGTTAATCGTCTGCTTTTTTACCTCGGTGCAGATTAGAGGGGAAAAAACTTTTATCATGATGTCAATAATTTGATATTTCTGTTATGACTCATTATTATTCAGTAATTATGACGTTGTTATTCGGTAAGTATTTTTGCTTCGATATTTCGTACTCAATGTTGTAGTTTCCGGAACCTATAAACTGAATGTTTATATTTTGAGACGCAACATGGATTTCAGGAGTTGGCAGATTTCAGGTCGGCGTATTTTCGGTATTTGACTGTATATATATATGTGTATATATATATATATGTTATATATATATGTGTGTATATACTCTCTTCTTCCCCCACTCTGCTACTTGGCTTCTTGAGGTCAAATTTTTTTTAGTCTTATATGTTGGTAAATTGTGCCCTTTTTGCTTTAAAAAATGATTGAATTATGTTGTTCTTATCTTCCAGTTAAGGTTTTTATCCGTTATTTAATCTACATGCAATAGTTGTAGAATTATCAGCAATTTAAAGAGTCTTAAGTATGGCTAATCCTAATTTTTGTTTACCATAGCAACCATATTTGTGTACATTTGAAACTTAGCAGAATAGTGAATTAAGTCAGTTTCTATACCTTCTGTGTCTTTCTGCCGAATGGGACTAAAAGTAAACTTTCAGTTTTGTGCACCAAAAAAATGTGCCTTCTTGCCCACTGACCGAATTGTTTGTTTTTGCATAGAAACTTTTATTTGTTTTAACTGTATTTCATGTTTTATATTTTTCAATTTTTAATGAAGATATTTTATGTAGTTTTGCCTGGCCATGAATTAAGAGCTGAATTAATTGAATGAGATGTATATCACTAGAGTTTAAATGAAATGCCACAAAAAATTTGTATCATTTAATATTCCGTACAAGGAAGTCTTGTGGGTATGCATCAGATTTTTTTTAACTGAAACTAACATTAATGAGACAGATACAAATTTTACCAATTTTTGCAATATTTTTTAAATTTATGTTAATTTGCTGTTGCAATATAATGAACATTTATAACTTTTATAAAGATAGCTTTTAAAATTAAAAAAAAATAAGGTATTTTCTTTAAATATTCAATTTTTGATCCCATTTTAGATTGTTTCATGTGTATTACAAAATCTTATCAGTTTATAAAATGTTTTCACAATCATCTAAATACATAAAGTAAAAGGCAAAATGTTGGTTTAGTTTAAGGTGTTAATCTAAAATATGCTTTTAATTCTCCATCATAAATTTCATTCCAGTGAAGGCTAAGGAACAAAATTTTGCCATTAATTTAGTGGGGTGCATTATACTGCTTTTGTATAATCTGTGTTCATTAACTTGAGCTATATTTTAAAACTGTTTATTAAATCTTTCAAAACTTTCCTGTATTCATTATATTATAATTTTTATCTTTTCATCATGACTACGGCTAGTTCTAGCTTAAAGACAAATTACGATCATTAAAGCTTAAATTTCCTTTCAGAACATCTACATTGGTCATCAAAATTGAAGGATAATGAGAAAACAAATTGCTTAGTAAGTGTTAATCTTGCAACCAATGCCTAATATTGTAGTTATTTATGTTAACTAGCTACAATTGAATACAAAATTTCACTTCCGCGCATATGTTATGTTAGTGCTGGAAATATGCAAATTCAGTGATGGATAATGTGGTGTACAATGGACGCTTGTTAGAACTCCAGTCTGTAGTATTATTTAAAGTGAATGTGGTTTCTGAGAGTGATTAGTATTCTACAGGCATCATTTAAGTGAATATTTAATCTTAAAGGCATTTAATCGCAAAGGCATCATTTAAGTGAACATGAAAAGTGGTGCTCACCCAAGATTTGAATATCCCTCAAAGGTATTATATCAGGAGTTTGGAGTTGCTTTATAAGGATTGGAGTAGTTGATAGACAACCTGTCAATGGCAATCAAGAACAATAATTGCATCTGAAGACATTTCTGTCATTGTCGGCTCAGAGAAACCACAAAATGACTACAAAAAATGTGGTTTTAGACCTTTAAAGTTGCCACAGGAACTCAAATTAGCCATTCTATTGCTGTGTAAAGGTTTATTGAGGTGGAACGTATGCGAGAAAATAAGTGGTTTGTATCTCGCTCACTCCAGCTTCTAGACGGGTTTGTATAAACTGGTGCCGTCATCATGTTCAATGGAGCCCAAATAACTGGGCTTGAGTATTGTTTGCTGATGAGTTCATATATAGTTTGAACAGTGATTCTAGATGTGTTTTGACCTGGAGAGAGAAAGGAATGCACAACTTGCCTTGCCTGTGAAATATTCCATGAATGCAGTATAATTGTTTGGGAAGGAATCAAAATAAATGGATGCACTGAGCTGCATATCTTTGAAAGAGACTCTGTAACCATTCAGATATATGTAGAAAAGCTATTGGAACCTCAAGTTTATGGCTGCTATTGGCTCATAGCATTTGCTAATAGATGACAATGCTTGGACTCATCTAGCATATGTGGTGCCAGAACACTTGCAAACTGAAGATATAACTAAAATAAATTGACCACCTTCTCAGCCGACTTAAAAAAGAAACCGTGAACTTTTCTTTGTATTTTTGCCAAAGCTTATCATGTTGTTTAATTCAGGTTTGTGTGTACCGACTTTCAGGTGTCATTTTTCCCCCAGAGCCATTTTAAAATCCACAGCTAGATGAGGCCTTTAAAGCAAGATTTTTTGAAAACCTGTGTGAGGATATAGGAAACGAACACTCGTCTTTGTTGTACTACAGCAGTGCACGATGGCTTTCTTGTGGTAATGTTTTATGACGTACCTTTGAATTGCAGCGAGAAATTTTTTTTCCCTCAAAAAAGAAGTATACAAAGGTATAGAAGATTTTGCTGATGCTGATTTTTTAGTAAAACTGGGAAAAACATGCACCTTTTGAAATCAATGGGAAGAATATCAGCTTTTGTAAAATAAAACTCGAGTGAATTCATGGTGAAGAAAATTGAATAAGGATGCTGGCAAAGATTGTTTTTTTAATATTGTGGCTTTTTTTAAAATTAACTTGATCTTTTTCCAGATGTAAAAACATTGTTTGAAGGCCATTTATCACAGCTAATTATTCGATTTGATAAAAATTTTCAAAATGAAAATTTCGATTGGTTTGAATGGATTCAAGATCCATTTAATATTGGTGCTCCATCTGAATTTACTTCTGTGCAAGAAGAGAATCGAGTTATCTTGCGAGAACAGTTTGAAAGTAAAATCTGGCAGCATGGAATTGACAGAATTTTGAATTTCAATAAAAGATGAATATTTCCTTCTAAGTGATAAAGCTCAGTGGATTTTAATTCCATTTTCAATGTCATATTTATATGAATCTGGTTTTACAGCGGTTGCTGTAATAAAAAAGCAACTATAGAGCAAAAATCTGTGTGGAAAAGGAAATGGGGATGTCCATGTCCAGTCTAATTCCATGATTTGATAAAATGCACAGTGATAATTGGGAAGAAACAAACGCATTTTGTTTTCCAAAATAAGTATTGCAAGCAGACTGAAGGATTAGCCATGAGAAGCCTTCTTAGTCCCATCCTGGCTGATATCTACCTGCATTATTATGAATCAAAATTATGTGAAACTATGCATGCGCAGAAAGTTTGTAGCTTTGAGATCCGGATTATAGATCATTCAGGATTATGGATGTCCGGATTAAAGACTTTTGACTGTATTTTATATAGTTTTATTAATTGATGATATACAATAAATTGCCTAACTCTTAAAGTTATAATACATAACTTTAAGAGTTAGGCAATTAGTTGATAAAAACTGCCTAACTCTTAAAGAGTTTTTTTTTAAAAGGGGTGGTGGTTATTTATTTAATTTGAAACAATACAAAATATGTTTACCATGCCTAAAATTTTTTCTTTTATGGAAAAAAGCTCGAATCAAACCAAATATAGTCAAGTTTCAGTAAGACAAAACTAAAAGGACACACCCCTCAAAAAAGAAATATTGAAAATTCAATTTTGAATACTATGTTTCGATATTCACTTTGGCTTACCTTCAAATTTCTAGTTTCAACAACCATTCCACCCTAAATTTCAAATTATTGAAGTTAATGTAGTCAAAGTGTATAACAAAAGATTGGAAACTTTATAGAGCAACTGATGCAACTTCCCAGTATGACAGGTATCAGATATTTTTATTTATTTCATATAATTTATAGCTTGCATTTTGCTAATGACTAAAAATTTCATCATCAGTAATGTATAATTCAGACTAAAGTATAATTGAAAAAAAGAGTTTTGATACAGTACTTAATCCACATTGGAACATACCACAGCTTTATGAGCTCTAAACCACTCAAGAACTGGAAACAGCCCTTGTTGAACTCTTGGCTGAACCATCTAAAGGTCATTTAATGAAAGTCCTGATGATGTTTTAGCCTGAAGCATCAAAAAGGACTTAAGACTTGATTCCTTCAACACGACTTGAAACCCTCACACACAGACTCAGTAAAAATCTCTTTCTCAGGCACTTTTTCCATATGTCTCCGCTCAAGGTATTCTTTTATGAAATCCGTATATTGTTCATGTATCTGAGGCCTTTTTAAATTGCATAATTAACTGCTTTAAATCTCCAAAATGGGAGGGTGAAGAATGAAAAGATAAACTTTACTGTATGTGCAGCACTTTTCTCTCTTGTAAATGTAGATTTGAAGTAATTTATTTGTTTGAATATTTGAATATATTAAGGCAAACTTGACACCCTTCAACAGTGGCTGTATTGTGATATATTTTTTCAAGCTTCAAACTAGTTTAAAATGTATAACTGTAATTTCTTGCTGAAGATGACTCATTTCAACAACTTCTTAAATGTGGCATATGATTTATTAATATTTTGCAAACTTCTTTGGATAATTATTTTTTCTGTATGATTTTGAATAGCTCTATATATTCATTTTAGTAATATCATCAAACAGATGAAAATAACAATTTTCATATTTGCAAGATTGATATCAGATTAGATAAGCATCAGATTTTAAAAAGCCACTGTATTGAGTGAGAAATAGAGTGGTTCTTCAGCATACACGTTTAATTAGTTCCATGCTCGAACATGTAAGCTGATTTACATCGTATCCTGAAACAGTTTTTCCCACTGAAATGCATTCAAAACCATTAATTTGTTCCAGCTCCCTAAGTAAGCACTTCAATGTATTTGATATTTTATTTTTAATTTACAATAATGCATTGTATTTTAAAGAAAACTAATCAAAACTTGGTGCTTACATCCTGTTGACTGTTACACTGTCACCAAGCAGCATGATTTAGTGCCAGTTATGGATAGCACACTAATAGCATTTGCACTTCCATTTGATGATGTAATCAATGATTCTCATTAAGCCACTTTTTGTTTTTATGAACAAGGATGTAAATTGACTGTTATTGATATTTTTTCCCTGCATTTTGAAAAAAAATATTAAAATTTGAGATCCGACTTCTACACAACAGAGGCAGTCGATTAGTTTCAAAGTTAACCTACCTTAACAAAAGTGTGTATTGATGAACACAATATAGTCAGCTGAATATGGCCTGCAAAACAGTAACATATTGGAACAATTACCTGCAGAAAGTTTGTACTGATAAGGTTCTAAGCTGTGTTTCCCAACGTATGTCCCTTGCCCCAAAGGGGGCAGTTTTATTGTTAAGGAGATTGTATACATATATGTTAAATAGAGGGCATCAGAAATTTAAGGTTTATTATGGGGGGGGAAGTTTGAAAAAGACTGTTCTAAAAATAACTTCTAATAAAATTGGAAGGCCTAGCAAAATAGTAGGAATCAACAAGACTTTTTAGGAAGCACAACTCCTAAAAAGGTTGCAAATTGAATACTGGTTTTTATTTAATAAAGTTACATTAATTCCTTTAAAATTCCTCCGGAATAATTGCCTCAACTTTGATGGGATTTCCGTCAACTTTCACAATTGACAGGATAATACGTAAGTACTGAATACTTTATGAAACAGAGTGAAAACATATAAAAGATAATGTAAAGAAATAAATACTGGGAATGTACCCTTCAGCTTCTATCAGTCCCGCAAATATTCTGAGGAAATTCTGTGCTGCCTTCCTATCTGAATTTGCTGCTTCACATGCCTGACAACAGAGTGAATTCCAGTTCAGCTTTTAAACTTTTCAAACCAGCCACAACTTGCCTGGAATGTCTCTTCAGATTCATTGTCTGAAGAACTTGGAGTCATCTCCAACAAATTAATGTATATAACTTATACCACTCTTCAGATGATTGCTTCATTCGCAGTATCTCCTTTGAGCTAATTTCTTTCAGCCACACAGTAAGTAGTTTCCCATCTTTTCATTTATTGAAACCCACTGTTTTGATATTAAAAACATGCCATCATTCTTTTTAATGCCTTTGATTGGTGCTTTTATCTCTTTTTTTTTTTTTTTTTTTTTTACTTCATACATATTATAGAAGTACTATGCTGTTACTGCTAAGTCAATTATATGCACACCTTGCTCATATTTATCAGTGATTCCATGCTTTAATTGTAGAGACTGATCAATTTTTCTTCATATTATTCACTTTATTAGGTTATAAATATTCTTAATAATATTAAAAATATATATTTATATTAGTTATAAATATGTTTGCACAATCAACATAAAAAATGCAAAGAAGCAGGCACTTTCATTTCATGTGTAATGATATAGTTTATAAAATTGTATACAGGTGCATTTTATATATTATTCAAAAGGTTTTAATGCAAGGAATTTCCTGAAATGTAAATGTCAACAAGCCATCTGTTTCCTTAAATGGCAAAAGTTTAGAAAGATGTTTTACCATAACTTCGCAAATTTTTTGCATGTGATTTGTTTTAATATGCTTACTAAATATGGAGTTTTAACTTAAAAATGAAATTGATTTTTTAAATGATATAAAGACAATACCCTGAAATTTTATCTTATAAATGGTCAACTTATTTGGAAATCTCTAAATAATTTCCCTTATATTCTGAATACTATATATATTGTTTAATTTTAATATTAGACTTTATTTCATTATTATATATTTTTATAATTATATGTATTTCATCTTAGTTATGGATGCTTTTAGTTATTGATTTGAATTTGACTAAATAGTGCATATCATTTATGAATTTATTATTTTAGTAAATCAAGAAGATACAAACACCCTTTTTCTTTTAAAATTTAAGACAGCCAGAGGTATTCAGTAGGTAAACAAGATAGATATACGCCACTGATATTTTCAAGTTCAGATAATGCATTGTTTCATTTTTGTCTCCATTTCATGTGGGAGCAATGAATCCACATGCTTTTAAGGTATCTTGTGAAAAACAGCTGTTGAAATACAAGTTTCTTCATGTATATTATAAGAATTTTTTCCCTTCATGTTTAATAAATAATATGTTTGTTTTATTAAGTATTTTTTTTTTTTTTTTCCTTTCAGAACTACTACCTTATTGATTATTACATGTTGACTATTAATTTAATTATGACTGGAAGGAGACTGCCAGTTTGTCTTTTTAAACAAGTAAGTTTTATATCTGTGTTATTTCAAATAATTAATTGTATGTTCTTTTCTTTCATTAATGTAAGTTTGTAGTAATATAGCATATTTCATTATACTGTATTTCAATTTTTTAAATAGATTTTCAAGTTAATGAATTTGAAAACTTTTAATGTTTATTATATTAATGAAATAGCACCACTTAAATAATTTTTATGGGGAGATATTCGTAAGTTGGTAACTTCTAATTACATCATGTGTCATTAGCAGACATTTCAAGAAATGCAAATCTATGTTGTTGATTAATTTTAAAAGAAGCAGATAATAAAATTGTAGCATTTTTCCAGCCATTAAGCTTTATTTCTGAAAACCTGTTTTTGTTTAATTGCGGCTGATTACATTTGCAATCATGGGTCTGTCAAAATGTGCACCAGCTGTTGGTGATAAACTATGAGTACCATACTGGCAGTATGACTTCATTCACTTTCAGCCCAATTTTGATTAAAATTGTACTGAAATGGGAATGGAATCTGGGGGGGGGGCTTTTACCCCTTTTTGTGTACCATTCTAGTAAATTTCTTCATCTGTGGCTTTAAGTGTCTTCATTCCACAAAAACATTACAGATGCAAACATTCATGCCATTTCCAGCCTTTGGGCATGGTGGCCAATCTCTGTTAGTCTCTATATTGGCTGAGACAGCTTAAAGGATTGTTTTGTTCTTGCCAGATATTTTTAAATCTTGAAAATTTCTTATTAAATGCTTCAAATAATTTTAATGGATAATTTTGCTGATGGATTTGCTTGAAGAAATGTCAGACATAATTTGAAAGCTATAAATATCTTAGCTAAAACGGATTTTGGGTCTTGATGGATAAATAACTTTTTTGGTTGAGCTGTGTTGCATGCTTTTCAATATTATTTTCTGTCTTCGTGCAATAAGTTATTGCAAAATAGTATACAAGGTCAGTCTGAAGTTTTTGAGATATAGCTAAATGGTAAGTTAACTAAACCTGAAGTCTATTCAAAGTAATTTCCACCAACATCTATGTGTACTTTGTTTGGCAAATTTTCCAAAGATGATATGCTTCAGACTGTCCATTTTTGGGGACTGATGAAAGAGATGCTTTTTTAACTCATCAGTCACATCTTCAGATTGAAAAAGACAGGCACATAAATTTTGTTTCAGATTAAGAAATGGTCAAAGGCCACACAAAGCAAAATTAGGAAAATAAGATAAATATTTTGTCATGTTGACGTGCTTCTGTTTGAGAAATTTCACTGTCAATCTTTGCTGAATATGAGAGGAACATTATCATGGTGAAGCATGAGTCCCCTAATAATCACTTCTTGAAGAATTCGAAAAGATTTAGTTGCAACTGTCTTTTGTTCCTTTAACTTAATGGTTATGCCTAGTCCTGTACTTTTGTGGAAAATGCCATACATTACTTTTTTCATTGCCTCTACCTTTGTTCATAAGTGGTCATCTTCAAAGATCCATACTCTACTTTCTTGATGCATTGGAATGCAAAAAAAATGCATGTATGTTTCATTACCAGTTATTATTTTAGAAATAACGCAGTGTCCACCATCGTTAATTTCAGTCCCTTTACTAATTCTGACATTCTCCTTTTTTAATATCTTAATTTATAGGGAACTTAATAAGAAACTAATTTTTTCATATGCAATTTTTCATGACTAATATGATGTATAGCAATTTTTCATGACTAATCTTATGTATAGTACTTATCAAAGTTATTTGATAAGTACAACAATTATCATTTGTTAACATAGTATGGCCGATATGCTTTTGGCACTATTACTGACAAAAGACTTCTTGTATGTTCTTCATCCAAGAGAGAATTTTTATGTCTACAGAATTCTGTAAACCATCTGGATACAGTGGTATGAGACAGAGCTTTATTTCCATGTGCTAACTGTAGATGCTGAAGGCATTCTTCTTGATTTAGCTATGCTTTAAAATCCTAGAAAATTATTGTACAAAAATGTGCTCGCACCAGCTCCATTTCCTTTCTTTCAAAAGTTATTCTATGATAGATAAATTGCTGTTATTGCCACAAATTATCTTTTGCAGACATTAAAAAATTTAACTTTAATTATATAACAAATAATTGTTTTTAGCATATATTGTCTGTTTGTCTCAAAAATTTCAGAATTACCTCTGTATACGTAGGGTTACCAACTGTAACTGTGCTTATTATAAAAAGAGTAAGCATTGGCACACCAGCTCTGCTTATTATAAAAAGAGTAAGGATTCACACACTAACCATTTTATAAGAAAAATGTTTAGGTTATATCATAAACAAACAAATAAAAGATTTTAAATATTTCTTTCAAGAAATATTCAACCCACTTTAACCCCTTAACTGCTGTGAGCGTATGTATATGCCTTGCTCAACTGATGCGTTAACTGCCCCGGGCGTATATATATACACCCTTCCAAAATAAAATCATTTGCTTTGTGCTGGTACCCATAAAATTATTCGCAAAGCTTTGGAATGCAACACCACAATGACCTTGACAAAGTCTGCAAGAGGATACTATTCAAGAAGTGTGGGAAAATTGGAGAGAGGGATGTGTCTAAAGCGTGAAGTAATGACTGGTGGTATGGCTGGTGTTTTTGAGTAAAAACTAATTTTTTATTATCTTGTCCCCGTTTTTGTTTTCTTTTTTGTATAGGTTCCAGGAATAAAGAAGATAACGATGTTTTCAACCCATTTTATTTTTGATTATTTTTTTATGAACTGCTCGTGCTCATATGTTACTGAAACTACCGTTTGTAGATGGTATAGGAACTACACCTTCAAACGAAAATCGGAACAAGATCTTGGCTTCAACAGTTGAGAAGAATTATGTTTTTTAGGCGTCTGATTTCCAAGTAACCTTGAACCTGATATTCACTTTACTGGTCTAAAATGATGATCGAACTCCATTTTAGGATCTTTTTTTATAAAGCATCATTTTTTATACTTGCCTCTTTTTTATACTTTTACGCAAACTAAATCGTGGCGTAATTTTTTTCTTTTATTCTTTATTTTGTGAAAGTAAACAGTTTTTAGAAAGTAAAACTTGCACTTATTTTCCCCCTAATGCTCGCATAATACGCGTGCCTGTGTGAAAAACCGTGGCACTGGGAAATGAATCGTTTACGTTTTCCGCAGCAGTTAAGGTGTTAAATCAATTGAAAGAGTTGAATATTCACCATTGTCTTCCATTTCTTGAATATTATTCAAATTTAGTGGCTGATCAAATAACAGAGAGTCATTAAGTTGCAGCCTTGTTTCATTTAAGTATGCAAAGCAGTGTTCAATATCCCTCCAAGAAGGTATCTTTTCCAGTAACATTCAATCATATTCAGTTATAAAATTCCCCATTCATAAATGTTTATAAAATGTTTCATAACTGAGCTTCTTGGATACTCTTCATTATTGTTATAAGGTATTTCTCTAACCTTCTTAGCAGGTCTTTGTGGTGTAATGGTCAGCACGCTCGGTGCATGTTCAAGAGGTCTGAGGTTCGAGTCCCAGCAAGGCCATTGCTCGTTTTTCACATCTCTAACTTTCAAAAATACCTAATGTCTCTGTAGTGGTGCCCGAACTAAAAAAAGTGGTGGATAATGATTCTCCACCACCAGGATTTGGTGACTAGGTCCCTTGATCCCCAGTCACCCTTTAAAAGGGGGAGTATATAAGGTATTTCTCCCACCTTCTTCACATGCCTTTGTGGCGTAATGGTCAGCACGCTCGGCATGTATTCAAGAGGTTCGAGTCCTGGCCAGGGCATTGCTAATTTTTCACATCTCTAACTTTCGAAAATTTAAACTTCAAAATAATTTCAAAAATTCTGTCTTGTTTTTAATTTTGTATTTTTGTTTCATAGTGCCTTCTGTTGATTATTCTATGCTTTTACATAGTTTCTACATTGTATAGAGAGCATTTATACAGTTTTAGAATGATTTCAGGGCCGTTTTATTAATGTTTAAAATGTAAAGAATATTTTTTTAATGTTTCATCTGATAGCCTCTTTTTGGAACTTTCTCTGGAAGTCTGCATTGTGATTTCCGTAGTAGAAGGGCTTTTCATAAATTTTCCTGTTGTATTGATTTCCATTCCTCTTCTACTATTTTCCAGAGTCATAGTGGGGTTGTGTTTGGAAAGAGCTCTTTCTAAAAAACCATCAGGGGACTTCACAAGAATATGTTGAAAAAGTGTATATACAATACCTGTATATTTCATTTTTTTTCCTAGGAATGCAGTGGTACTTTTCGAAGTATAACTTTTCGCTTTGTCTTTTCACTCTTTGAAAGTCATTGGAATAAGAAAGTGCAATTTTTTCTGTAAATATCCAACATAAAACTTTCTCTTGATAGTCCATTGAGTTGATTTTAGCATTTTGATTCCCCAATCTTCTTATTTTTACTTTCCCCATTTGTAAGAGAATCTTGCGACAGTCATAAACCCCTTTCTGAATATTTCTTTGCATTGATGGAACAAGCTCTGTATATAATTTTCTATAATAAACTGACTTTTTATTGTTGCAGTCATTTAGGTAAATCCATGTTTCACCAAGGGTTACAATGGTTCATCAAGGTCTCTGTTCATCTCCTTTTTAAATAGTTTTCATGCAGAGTTCTACAAACTGCTCTGCCTTGAGCCATATGTCTGAGCAAAAGTTGAACATTGATTTTTTAGCTTTTTTAAGTTGTAAACCTTTATGATTTTATATTTTATTTATTGTTGCTAGAGATATATTTAAAGACTTTGCAACTGATTTCTGCATTGATAAATTTTCTCTTGTTACTAATGATTTAACTTAAAATAAAATAATAAATATAAATTAAAAGCAATAAAATATGTTCTGTTATTCTTCTACTAGAAAGCAATCTAAATGAATACCCAGAAGCATACCTTTTCTGGGTATTCATTTAGATTCTTCTTTCTATGTAGAAGTAATGACTGATGGTTTTTCCCCTTTCCAATTAATAATGAAACTTATTTTGCACATAGAAATTTTAACCCCATACATTTCACAATGTTTCTAAAGTATGGAATAAGAATATTTCTCTTTGGAAAGCATAAAAACATATCCAATTCACAGTTTGTTTACATGTGACGTTTTGAAAAAAAAATAAAGGGGAGAGGGGAGATGATATTTCTCAATTCAAATAATAAGCTGTTGCCAGAAATTTTTATTCCAAAACATTTTCTTTTCTGTCTTTTTTTATTATTATTATTTATTATTCTTTATTGAAATAGTTCTAAAATTATGTGAACACCGTCTGTATTTTTAATGTTTTCTTTTTCTCTGTGCAGAATTGAGTTTCTCTTCTCTTGAAATGCTTTCTAATTAGTTTATAAGATGTAGTGTATGTCTGCTTTCAGTTGTTTGGTAATCTTGTATTCAAGAGACTACAGCCCCCCCCCCATCTATGTACCTTCAATTTTCCTCTCTGGAAATATTCACCTTCTTACGCTCTTTCAATCTAACTCATTTTCTAAATAACATATGGCCCTGCTGGGCCATATAAGTATATGGGTAATGTATGGATTTCATTGTGCTTTTGAAACTGATAAAATTTTATTCACAATTTATGCCAGTCTAAGGTAATTAAAAGGATTGAGCTTCTTTTAATTTTATGATAGTGTTTTGTGCTGCAAAACAAAATCATAAGTTAATTGTTGTGTTTAGTATCCGTAGTTAATTCAACTAAAAAAGTATCCACGGTTAATTCAAACCATTCATAAAGATAATTTTAACTCGGGGTACAATTTATTTGTTGAATGCAGAAGTTTGTTATGACATCAGCCACCTTTAGTTTTGTGACTCCTTCTTTTATAAAGGAACAGAATATGGTGAAATTTCTCATACAATAGCCAAATCATCTGTGTGTGGTCAGCGCCTGAATATATTTTATTTTCTGTTAAGTTTATAAACATTTAGCTTTTAATTTTATTTCTTATTGCTATATTTATGCCATATATTACTCAATATAAAATAATAATCTGAAAATATTTTGTTATCATTGTGAAGTATACTTCTAAAACTTCATACTAAGCATTTTATTCTGAGAAAAATCAAGTATCTTCTATTTTAATTAAATATGAATTAAAAAGTATTCTTATTCCCATTCATTTTAGTTTCTGTCTTAATACTGTAATTTCTTGATGCAATTTTTTTTTTTTTTTTTTTTTTTTTTTTTTTTTTTTTTGTTTTGTTTTGTTTTTGTTTGTTGTTGTTGTTGTTGTAATTTGCAAGAAATGTTTTGCTTTATTCTTATAAAGTAAATTGATGAGTCATTTTAAATTTCATTTTAGATAGCCTTCTTGTTCTTACCTGCTTCATACCATGGTACTTGTGCTCTTTGTATAAGAGTTATAACTATCATACTTCTAAGTCCAGTTTTATCATTTTGTTTTTATCATGTGATAATTGAACATGGGATCTCGAGCATAATATTTCTGTTTTATCCGTAAGTAACTTATTTTACACACATTTATGTGATATTGTGAAGTAGAGTGTAAAATGTGTGTGTGCATGCAGAATTTTTTTTTTCCCCAATTTACTGACATAATAATATAGTTAATTTCCAATTTAGTAGGCTGTGCCTAAAAAAATTAACTTTGTTTATTGCATAAAGGTGGGAATGTTAACACAAGTATAAAATAAATTAGCACAAAAGCAAACTGGCTATGGAAAATGCGATAATAGCAGTATTAATAAATGATGTCTCAGTGTAATCAGCAATATATAAGCATCATCCATTAGAAGTAAACTGATCAGTCATAAAATTAAATCAAATGTACAGCCATTAGTCTTTTATTATGGTACTTATAACTGAGGTTCTTCATTTCTAGTCTTCCACTATTTAAACTAAACTCAGTGGTGCAACAGCTCTAGAGGGCCACGGCTTGCAGTGCCCCAAAATCCTCTTTACATGACCTTTTGCCCCAGAGTGCATTAGCATATGCCCTGGACAAGTGGTCAGCTTGTCACAGGACCCCTGGTGTTTAATCCCCAAGTGAACTTGGTACTCATTTTATTGACCCATTCAAGGGATGAAAGGCTGAGACACCCTTGCCCAGCCCAGGGATCGAAACCCAGACCTGTGGTGCAGCTGGGCAATGCGCCAGCCACTTCAACACCGGGCAGTCTCCAACTATTTTGAATTCTTAGAGGTACATCTTGCATGGCTTGTGTAATGCTACGACATAGTTATTTCGGAAACTAAACTCTGAGATCTGAAACTATTCTAACCTAAGCCAAAACCTTTTTTTAACAGACTGCCATATTGAATAAATGCATACTTTTAGCTTAAACTTCTGTGCTGCTTGGATGTTTCACTGCCCTTTCTTTCTATCGCCATATCAAAAATGTAATTGTTCTGGAAATAGGCACAAGTAATTGGCCAAGTTGTTTGTGGCTGCAACATAATTACTGAAAATAGCTGCCAGTTTCATATTCATTACAGATAAGCATTCTATGCAATCAGGAATTCTTCCTGTTCAGTAGGCCACCTACGTTCTACACAATCAACATTTGCTGCTACTTTCTCTTATTTAGCAATGAATTGACTAGACGTCATAAGTGTGAGTGTAAAATTTCCCCAATGGAAAATTTATTCAACTGCCTTTCATATATTTAGAAGTGATAGAAATTGCCATTGTTCTGCTGTGGTGTTTTACAAGTGCTTCAAAAAATATTTGCAGAATGAAGGTAATCTCCTGATAAATCCAAAAGGTCGAATGTGAAAAGGAATATTGAATTTGCTTCAGCCATCCCTACAATATTATAAACAATACAAAAAGAAAAAAAATCTTTATAAATCAGTAGTGATTTAATGCTTAAGAGATCCAGCATTACACCAGGTTTAAGGTTGTCGATCTGAATTTGTGCTTGCAAGCATGTGTGACAGAAAATTATTATTTGCGTTTCCAGTTTTCCTAACAACATTTCGTAATTCGAAAGCTCAAAATTGTTATCTTTGTGTGAACTAAGTTTAATTTTCCAATGAGCCAAAATTATTAAATGCGCTGCGGACTCCAAAGTTTGCTTAAAGTTTCTGCAATTTGATGGTGCTGTTTTGCAAAAGTATGAAATTATTGTTCATTAAATTTTTTATAATTGTGCATGATAAAATTATTAACGTAATTTGTGACATACAGACAAAGTAATGAATGAAGTACATACATAGACGAACATAACAAATTTTAAGATATTTAAAGTATTTTTAGGGAAGCATATTAAATAATACAATTTTTTGAATTTATGCTGAAAATTTTAGTTTGTTGATAAGAATTTTATGTGAATGGAATAATTTTAAAATATTAGTGTAGAATATGATAAACAAATAGTGTGTTTGATTATTACTATAGAAAATATGTTTTGATATAAAATAGTTAAAACATAAAAATATGAGTAATTTAAAAACTGGTTAATTATCATAAGTAGTATGTGATCTTGAAGCACTCAAGAACTTTACAAATGTATCTTCAAACCTGAACTCTAAATTTAATTCACAGATTATGTAATATTTTAGATATTGTTTTTAATATGTTTTTAGATTTCTAAATTAATCTTGAAGCAAATCATTTGTTTAATCAATAGAATTGTGAATATTATACAAAATTTTTCTTCTCTGCTATCACTAATGCTTTTTCCTCAAAAGGCTTCTTTATCACTAAGCCTTTTTCCTCTTGAAGAAAGGCTATGTAAAATTTTAAAAAAATAATAAATAAATAAACTTAACTTTAGATGAATTTTACTTTAAATTAGATCTTAATTCTCTTAATTCCTTGTTTTTTAATTTGAGAAATTCATATCTGAAAATCAATTCTGTAACCATCTGCATTGCGCATAGTTCCTCGGCCAATCAGATTAAAGCAAAACTTCTAATATAAATAGCTACTAACTGCATAGTTTCTCTCTTTTTTCTTGTCATCGCTTTCCTACTGACAATGTGTCGCTTAACCTCTACTAGTTATTCTCCATTATTTGAGATGTAAAGGCTTGTCTAAAATTGTGGGGCGCATTTAGCATCCTTAGTCTTTTACCAGTTATTAAGATATGTGCTAAGCAATTCATCATCCAAAAATAAATTATGTTTAACTATCAAGCTGGTCTTCTAAAATTCCATCTGGTCATCTGCTACACCACAATTTCCAGTCACCTGTGCAGTAGTTTTTTTTTTTTTTTTTTCTTTTTTTTTTTTACATATATATATTTAGTATAAGATAAAATTATATGAATCAGAATTATAATATAACTATAAACATTAATTCTTCCTCTTTATTCTAAAATCGTAATAACTTCTCTGCATTGCGTCATTTCTAGATCACTCTATGGCCCACGCAGCTCTGATGACATAATAATTGGGAACTGAAACCGCCATTGTAAACCAAAACTTTTCTCTTCGCGTGCTTCCATCTTTCATAACTACGCACTTCAGCTTTTGCTCTCTACTGTGCTAAGATGTAATTTCGCTGGCGTGCTTTCTATCTCAACAATATCAAAAATGTAAATCTTCTGTGGAAAGGCACGACTAGAGTGCGAAGTGATTGTGGCCACAAATATCAGTTGCAAATAAAAATGGAATTAAAACTGCCTCGACTGCCAAGTTTTAACAAAATTCTTCTTCAATATGGGTCTAATCACGCATCTACAGTGTTCCGTCTTTTCCTTTGTGCTTTTATTATGACAATTAAGCCGGTAGGATAGTTTCCTGCAGCCTGAAACCTCAATGGAAAATTTAGTTCAGCTCTTCAAATCATCGTTTTGTGATAAATCCAAGATAATGTGAAAGAAGTGAATCATCAAATTTGTTTTTTCAGTGTTTAAAAAAATAACAGATCATTCTTCTGCTGTGGTGTTTTGCAAGTGCTTCAAAAAAATAATCACGCGTAGTGTTTACAGATTGAAAGTAATCTCTCGATAAATTGAGAAGTTCGAATGCCTAGTGAAAAGGAAATCATCAGTGAATTACCGTTTAGGAATTAAGCATTACAGCGGGTTCAAGGTCGATCTGAGTTAGTGTTTGCAAGTATGTGCGACAGAAAATTATTTGCACTTCCGCTTTTTCAACAGCTCAAAAATTATTACATTCGTGTGAATCTAGCTCAGGAACTAAATTATTTAATGTGCTGCGGATTCTATAGTTTTCATTTCAACTTTGGTTAAAATTTCTGAAATTTCTGCAATTTGTTTTGAGAAAATCTGAAATTCTTGTTCATTAATTTTTCTAATTTTTCATAATTATGTGTGAGCAAATTAAGTAACGAATTTTAAGCTATTTAAATTATTCATAGGGAAGGATATTAAGATAAGTTTTTATGTTTTTTATGTTTTTTGAAATTTTGTTGAGAATTTTGAATACGAATTTTATAATTATTCTAAAAATGAAGTAGGTGTAAAAAAAGTGAAATTATTACAGATACGTAATATGAAATTATGGTAAATGCATGTTAAAATTTATGGGTGATTGTATGTTAAGTATAGTATGATCGAGGGAGTACTGGTTTTCCTTCAAGCAGAGGCCTGTAATTACCTCTGTACAGTTGTTCCCTTCACCCTCTTCAAGTAAGATAATGTTGGAGGCTCTCATTTTTATGAGTGTGTGTAATTTTATTTTTTTATATTATTATTATTATTATATTTTTTTTTATTATGGAATGTATTAGTGCAGTTCTCAAAGGCCAGTTACCTTAATGCAAGGAATGGAGGAAGGCCTTTTTTAACTGCTAGGCACCCTGGGCCACCAGTGCAGAGAACACACTGGTTAGCTCAAGAGGATAGCCCTATTGAAGGATACGTTTGTTTAAAAGCATTGCGAGGCCTTCCAAATTGTAAAATTAGAAATTGTAAATGAAAGATAATAACGGTGAAACCATCCTATTATTATATGGTAATAAAACATAATTTATCAATATGAAAATTAATATCATAAATATTTATGTGCATTTAATTATAAGTAATGATTATGTAAAAGTTTATTTTGTGATATTCTGTAATAACAAGAACCTTCCCTGAAGAATTATGATTATGTGAACTCTCAAACAAAAAGACTTTTGGACTGAAATGCTGAAAAATTCAATAGGACTCTAAAAATTTTAAAAAAATTTATTTATAAATTTTTTTTTTTTTTTTTTTTTTTTTTTTTTTTTTTTACATTTGCTAGTGCTTTAACTCTTTCTCTTTAAAAAGGCTTCTCTGTCGCTACGCCTTTTTCTTTTTGAAGGGGGGGAATATGTAAGATAAAATTATATGAATCAGAATTATAATATAACTATAAACATTAATTCTTCCTCTTTATTCTAAAATCGTAATAACTTCTCTGCATTGCATCATTTCTAGATCACTCTATGGCCCGCGCAGCTCTGATGACGTAATAATTGGGAATTGAAACCGCCATTGTAAACCAAAACTTTTCTCTTCGCGTGCTTCCATCTTTCATAACTACGCACTTCAGCTTTTGCT